TGTCTCTGATAAAGAGGGGTTGCCAAAGGAAAGTAATTACACGAGAAACAAATCCAAGTGCTGGACGTGCCATAAGTTCTAACAGAGACATTGGGACTTAGAAGGTCCAACCCATTCTCTGTTGAGACATCAGGAGAATTATTCTGCTCTCACTGTCTCCCTCTGCATTGTGACGGTATTCAGAACATGTAATGCACAGCTTCATGTCTCACTGTGCAGGACTACATGCACCAAACAACAACTAGAGTGAGCTCCAGCCCACAGACATGGATTCTGAACCTACTCACGCACATCTCCAGTTTGATCCACACACTGTGCTCAACCCTTGTTTTTCTCACAGAATTAAAAAGCGCATTACAAGCAGGTCATACTTTCAGCTTTCTGGCAACTGTTGTCCAATAGGCAGACAACAGGATTCTGATCACTGCTTCTACTGCTTTCATCACAGATGAACCTGTTGCTCATATTCGTACCTATAGCCTTGGGTACTATTTCACTCATGTCAACAAAGGATTGCTGTCCAAAGTTGATGACACTGGCATGAGACAGTGCCATTTGTTCTTCATGCCAGTGTCTTCATGATGCTGAGGAGATGTTGGATATAGAGATCACGTGCCCTTGGGAAACTATGCAGATCTCTCCAAAAACAATGTCTTATATCTATTTACGTGGAAAATACTACAGATACAAAGATCACAATAACACCATTTGATTGAGCAAATTCTCAACTACAAAACACTACTTACAGAGTCACCAATAGCTATGCATTTTTGCCAGTGATGAACAAGAACCTACATGCCACACAAAACCACTGTTGCTACTGCTGAAACAAACCACCCACCATCTCAATGTGTTCATATTCATTCTTTGATCTCAATAAACATCCAGTAAGCATCAGTGAATGCCAATTTGTGCACTGTTTTCTTCATAGAGGAATGTGACACCTTTGCTTCATATGCACTTCCATGTCAGACACCATTTTGTCATCAGACTGCCCCTCTGCTGCCATCTATTGCATGGTCACAAAACATAACAGAATATTGTTGGGAAGGTTCAACCTCTACTCCATACCACCAACATCTGCCTCTGATGTCATGTATCATCATAGTACAATAGGAGGCATTACTTTCAGAACAGCCCTCATAGTTTGTGCTGTGCACCTAGAATAACTTCATAAAATGGTTTAAGTTGAAAAAGACCTTAAAGATGATCTAGATCACCAATGAAGACATTTCTGGATGCAGCAGGCCAACTTCAAGGCTTCCTGCATCAAACATAATCAGTGTCCCTTTCCCTTCAACAAACGAGTAACAGAGGAGATAACTGCTGTCACTCTGGAGAATTTTACCATTCTGAGTCCTCACCAGCTGCTGGCAACAGTTCAGGGTTGGGCATTACCACCATAGGCAAAATCGTGATAAGGGTCTGTGAGATTGGTCACTTTGCTCATTAAATATCTGCGCTGAAAATATCAGTCAGCTCATACAGATGTACGTTCTACAGATATTCAGGCAAACTAATGCATTTGTATCCTTCACAAGTACCTCAATCAAAGTCTGTTGCTCTTTCCTTTCCTAAGCTCTAAGGAGAAGACTCAGAAAAAAAAAAATTATACCAATCACCAGCAAAAGGGAAGTTATCTGAAATTCTTCTCTATGCCAGGGGAATTGAGGTTCTTCTCCTATCTCACATACTGGCAGCTAAACACTTTTCCACACCTAGACAAACTCCACTTCGTCACTCCACGAACTTCCACTCCTGCAGTGAGTCAAATGCCATATCAAGACAAGCATGGGTCTGATGGCACATTTGCTTCCAGCAGAACATGTGTTCAGCTAGCTGACAACCAGGGAAGTCAAACCAGACAAGTCATGTTTTCTGCCTCCTGTATTACATGGGCCAGGCCATTAATAAGTCACCAATAAACCAGGTTGCCAAAAAGTAATACCTGTCTTCTGCCTTCTCCCCACACACCCTTCATAGGCAGTATCCCTTTCCAGCACATCCATCAGTCACACAGGATGTACACAGGTTTCTTCCCAGCTCCATACCAGCCACATGGAGCTTCAGCCCCTCTCCAGATCTGGAAGGTAACACTAAGACCATCAGGTGTACTCATAAGTCCCAGATCTCCAAGAGTCATCATGCATTGCTCCCCCACTTTCCTCTTCCCACACTCATCTGCTTCTTTGAATTGTGCTTCCACATCGTCACCCTATTTTCTCAACCATTACTATTGCTATGCAGAAATCTACCCCCCTACCACCCTATAGAGGTCTGCCTGATCTACAATAGGCCACAGATATCCTAACACTGCAACACTACTGCACACCAATTAATACCATCAAAATACACTCTCTTACATAGAAAAGCCTCAGTGGTAGTAAGCACAAGAAAAAAGAAATAACATAAAAAGACTTGCTCACCAGCTTATCCACAGCCACGTCCTATTGAGGTTTGCAGGGTCAGCCTGCCTGGCTACAGCCTCAGCTGCTTCAGCCAGCATCTTCCAGCCTTTTCATTGGCCCCAGGTGTCTCTCTTATACCAGGCAACAGCTTGATGAGAACAGCTCTGTCTTTTGGATCTATGCTTCTGTTTCAGCCTTGTTGTAGGGGTAGGACTGAGCATGGCCAGGGCAAGAAGTAGCCTCAACAGACTGGGAAGACACAATTGCTAGCACGTAGGCCCACCTCCCCCAGATAACCTCCATCACTGTTTGTTCCAAGAGCTGATTCTCACCTCCCCTGTTGCTTCATTAGCTGGAGCTCATAAGATAATATGAGGTACTCCATCAAACATCTCTTGGAGAGGTGGTGGCCTCTGGAAATAGTTTCAGGGAGGACCATGCTGGGTGTAAGGAGTCAAATGTGGCATTTCACTCTGTCACTGGAGAGATCTCAGGAGCAAACTGTCCTCTTGGAATTTGTTTTTAAGCAATTTTGTCGATTCAGATGGGAGTCTAAAAGCAACCTGGTAGGAAGAAGTAAGGAGCAAGTAGTGTAGATTCACCTTTCTTCCACTGCCTCATCTATGAAACTAAGTTAATCGCATGATCTTCCTGAAGAGGAGTAGTTGAGAAGATTAAAAAGAGGTAAGACAATAAGCTCCAAAATAAATGCTTAAAAATCTTTTTTTTTTTTTAATATGTATTAAGATGTATAGACAATAATTACATGTCTATTAAACTGAGTTATTTAAATGAGTGCTTGGCAAATTAACATATAGAATATTAATTAGAACCCCTAATTCTGCTGAAACCAAGAAAAGCTGATTTAGCAATTGTAAATGTGTAGAAGATGGCTTCTGAGAGAATAAAAAACATTTCTATGTTCTGAAAAACAAGCAATGAGGATGTGACAATACATGAAAAATTCCTTTAACTGTACCTCTTCTCAGCACAGTTTGCAGGACCTGAGGCTTCCCCAGTGGCAAGCTTTTTGAGCTCCCACCTAGACAAAAGAATATATATTTGTCCTATCTTGCTTCATTTCCATATGTATTCTCCTTCTGTGGGTTTCATGGCAGCTCTCTCTTGTCTGGTCCTGCACCCCAGCAGAATAACACATATACAGTGAGTTCCCAGACCAATGCACTTAGACCAGGCAATGCTGTCAGAAGCAGAAGCATCTCTACCCTCAGCAGCTCGTGGTCTTGATCTCAGCAAGCTGCAACAGTGTTTGAGGCAGGCATGCAGGGGGGACAGAATGATAGAGGCAACTGAAAAGTAAATGAGAAGCAAGTGAAAAGTCTGAGCTAAGTCTCCCGAAAAATCCTTGGAAAATTAGAAACAAGTAGGTTTTGCAATGCGAAAAAGAACATGTGAGGCTTATGGGGACATGCACGTAGAATTATAGAATCCTTAGAGTTGGAAGGGACCTCTGAAAGCCATCTAGTCCAACTCCCCTGCATTGAGCAGGGACACCACAGCTAGATCAGGTTGCCCAGGGCCTGATCCAGCTTTGTCTTGAAAGTCTCGAGGGATGGGGCATCAACCACATCACTGGGCAACCTGTTCCTCACCACCCTCACTGTAAATTTTTTTCTTTATATCTAACCTAAATCTATCCTCTTTGAGCCTGAAACCATCTCCCCTTATTCTCTCACCACAGACCCTGCAAAAGAGTCTGTTCCCTTCTTTCCTGTAACTCCCATTTAGATACTGAAAGGCTGCTATCAGGTCTCTTGGAGCCTTCTCTTCTCTGGTCTGAACAGCCCCAGCTCCTTCAGCCTGTCCTCGTAGGAGAGGTGTTCTGCCACTGAGTCATTTTTGTGTTACCTTTTTTCCAGTTACCAGGGACTTCACCTGATTGCCATGACTTTTCAAATATCACTGAGAGTGGCTTGGTGACTACATCAGCTAATTGTAAGGACCACCCATGTTTGTGTGCCCACCTATTGTTGGGTAGATGCACACGTACACTTACGTGAGTAGCAATAATATCCTGGCTCCATTTTAATGCCACATGAAAAGTAAAGCAATTGATGAAATATAGGAGTTTGTGTATGGAAACTGGCATAAAAGAATAAACCTGCACAGACTCGGTGCAATTCTTCACATTTGAAAGAGCTATTAGACTAGATAGAGATAGATGCAAGTAGAGAAATACAGCAGACAGAAGCCACTCAATAGCATTCAGGGAAATCAACACTCATGTGAAATGCCAACATCCTGGGCTAAACATCTTGTTAGAAGTGATTGAATTCCTAACAGCTGTGTCAAAATGCATTCACTTGCAAGTGTTACTTGTGGATAAGCAATATTATCTTGTCATCCTTGCTATTTATGGCAGCATCCATAACATCCTCACTTCTTTCCAACCATATTGTTCTCCAAAGAGCCTGCTGCAACTCTTTTGTGGCTGTGAATGTACAATTTTCTATGATTGTCCAAGCTACTGTGGGCTTCAAAGTTCAATAGTAACCAAGGTGGGTATAATCAGAGTTGAACAACTCATGGATTATATCAGCATAAGGGATATAAAAGCAATCCAAAACCCCATACTATAAGCACCATTTACTGATTGGACAAAATTTTTAATGTTGAAAGGAACACTTGAATTTGAATTCATACTTGAATTCATAAGACATCAAGTATTCCATATTTGCACTGACAATTTCATTTTTTTATTACTGTTACAGTTTTTGTGGGCAATAAAATAATCAAATACTTCTGGGAATAAAAAGTAATAAGAGGAAGCTTAGAGATTTAGAGAACAATATTTCAGGAATTTTGCCTCAAATAACCAGGTCTTTTATTTTTTTGTGTGTGTACCTAGAGTATGCACAAGAAAAACTGTGAGTGTGCTGTCAAATAGAAAGAAACGTATTTCTCATTAGGACTGTGCTTATCACACTTTCAAAAGTTTTAAAAATCAATGCATTTGTTTGTCATTTTAATTTAATATAACAATAGCTGTCAAAACTGCTCATTTTGCCTGCTAGTGACAAATTTACTGAAATTTTGCAGCATGAGCCAAATAACATGGCACCAGTTCCTCCAGCTTTTATTTCACTCTGCTCTAGGCAGTATTCCTACTTGTTTGTTTGCGTGAGTTTTGCCTGAATGAGGGCTGAAAGTTTCAATTTCTAACATCAGACAGTTTTAGAGTCAGTTGAAGAGTCACAGAAATCCCATTTACAAAACATGTTGGGTGACTAGAATGGTGCTGCCTTCAAATTTTATCTCTGAAATGCCAGGCTCATTTCTTACAGAGCATTGCAACATACAAACTAACTATATCCTTGATGAAATTCCCTTGAGGTCCTTGAGGTCACCCCCAGGATTAAACACTGCCTGACCTTTTGCGTTCAGAGCTCAGAAGCACTGTATTATGACGCCTACTACGCCTTCGGAGATGTTGGTCTGTTCCACTAAAAACAAACATCTTAGACCTCGTCCCTCATGGGAAGAGCTCCGATGAAGCAACTCCCTGTTATTACCTTGTACAGAGACTCTACAGGACCATGTTCTGCCCTTCTGGCGACAGAGACAACATAGACAAAGCTATCACTCAAGTGCAGCCTTGAGTAACGGCACATTTTCCCTCATTCAAAATGATATTGTGATGCATTAACTAAGGGAAATGTGTTAGGAGCTTTGTGCTGGAAACAGAGTGGCGGGTCATGAAGGTAGTGGTTAGGACAAAGTACTTCGTAAAATCATAGAATGGCTTAAGTTGGAAGGATCTTATAGATCATCCAGCTTCAACCCCCTACTGTGGGCTGCTTGCCCTCCATCAGATCAGGCTGCTCAGGGCCCCAGCCAGCCCAGCCCTGAATGCTTCTGGGAATGAAGCATCAGCAGCTTCTGATTTGATTCAACTGCTCTTTTCAGTCTCCTCTATGCTACTGACTTGTGCTGAGATTTGGAAAAATCTTGTATGGTAAAGCCTATAAACTAGAGCCCTTCAACTAACTGCTCTGCCACTGCTTTTCTGCAAAGAGGAGGTTGTAGCAGTTCATTATGTCCGAATACTTTTACTGTGTTAGCCACTGGTGTGTACAGTTAGTGCATCTTTTTGAACATGTACCCATCATTTTTTTTACTAGAATGTGCTATACATCTGTAAATGAACATATCCATGTAGATGCTGGGACTCAGTAAGATCACAGAATATGAAAAAAGTATGAAATCTATTGAGCGTAGCTCCTCTGACTGGAGCCTTTATGGCAGCTGTGTGGACCGACTCCTCCCTGAGTTTTCACTCCAGGAATTATTTCTAACTTGGCATCCTGAAGTCAGTACTGGATTCCAACCTGAAAAGAAAAGCAGAGTTAGGCAGACACACACTAACCTCCTTCAAGCATTCAGAGTATTGTGCATGTGATAAAGGGTTGGATAAAACTGTGGCAACAGTCTGCTATCTTTCAAGGCTAAGGAAAATAAACCACAAAGGCAATTCAACAAAGTCCTCTTTGTTCCTGAATAGAACCAACAAAATGAAAGAAATCTGGTGGACGAGAGAAGGCAAGAAAAGGTTTACTGCAGGCAGCAAGTACAGACAGGATCATCTTTGCTGGCTTCTCTGACAGAGCAAGTGCATGATTATCACATGAGCCTCTCAAAGACGGGAATTAAAGGGGCTGTCACATCGCTTAAGCTGCACTGAGGTCAAAGGAGTTCGGACTAACCGAGGTCAGCCACACGTGGCCCGGGAAGTAGGGGTCTCATTTTTTCTAAGCAACAATTGTTCAGTTTGATAAAAATAGATGCCTGAAGCCTGTGATGGCTTGTAAAGCTGTCCCTGTAGGCTGGATTCCCACAAAATGCAGTATATCATCAGCAGTGCTCTGAAAAGAACCGAAAGACAATGAGGCCAGTCAGACGGTCAATAGAAACAAGCACAGAGGCAAAAAACACAGAGGAGGTCACCATTTTTCTCTGTCACCCCCCTAGAAGAGCAAGGGGAAAAATAACAAGTCTGAAATATTGGTGCATCAGTATAATAAAAAGAACATGGAAACAGGTGCTAGCAATATGACTGTATGGGAGCCTGCTGCTCTCTTCCACACAGTAGTCCATGAACTGTGTCTCAAACAGAAAACCCACCTCACAGGTTGCCAGTGATGCCAGGGCTATGAAGAATGCCCCTGTGGTAAAAATAGTGCCCATTCTGTCCCATGCTCTCTGTCCCCTTTCAGTTTCCAATTCACATAATTCAGCTATAAAAGGAGCACTGAACTCTTCACCAGGAGCATCAAACTTCTCCACAGTTTTGATGAACCTTTTGCTGGAAATGGACAAAGGAGAAATGAAAAGTTGTGTAGCCAAGTGCAGCACGTGTCTGGGTACGTCCTGAGACTCGTGTTTGAAAGCAGGATTGATGTTCCTCTTCTTCACTGGGCAGGCACAGAAAAGCAGCCTCTTTTTTTTTTCAATCTTTGGAGCAAGTCAACACAAAACACAGTGTAATCTTCATCATCATCTTCACTTTCATATACAACCAAGCTCAGGATGCTTCTGTGCTTGCTGTTACACAGCACAGATTATGTGATTGATTCTGCCCAGAAAACTGATTCTCATTTCTGTATCCCCATTTCTGAATCAGAATTTTCCATGTTGAGATTATTTGTGACAGGAATACCAAAATTTTAAGATACTTTCTACAAATAAAGCTTATCCCCAACTTTATTACTCACACAATAATATCATATCTTCCTGGTAAACAAAGTATATGTGATACAGACAGAATGAATGCAATGGGATTTTCAAGTATCTCTCTGTCACACCTTTTTATTCACTAAAATAAATCCTGAGATCAAACCAAATAAGGAAAACTGCAGGTTCCCCACATGATCTTCACTGGTATGTTTAAGCTGATAGTGAAGAATGAATCTGAGTAAACAAGTCCTTAGGTAAGCTCAATTCTCTTTTACAACCTGGTAATGACTATGTGTTGACCTGTCCTTGAGGAAAGAGCCTTTAATGCAGCTTATCAAGCCCAGAAGACCTCCCATTGTCCTCAGTGAGGTCTGGGTCAGAAGTCAAATTGAAAACTCCAAACACACTATCTGTGCTTGACAGGCTTTAAACTGGAATTGACGTTCAATGTCCAGTGTGCCGTAAAACACAGCAATAAAATACACAGTAATGTAATAGTCCTGGGTAATTTGCTCCAGGTAGCCCTGCCTGATTAGACCAGATGGACCCAAGGACCCTTCCAACTTCATCCATTCTGTGAATAGTAGAGAACTGCTTTTTTCATTCATTTCCATTCTTTTGTTCCAATTTTACTGTGTTTTTTTCCTGCTCTGGTGTAAGGCTTGAGATGTTTATGCAGTTGTGTACTTCCTTGGGTATAGAAGGAGATGTAAATGCCTTTTATTAGTCTGTTCATTTTCCCCTCTGTACTCAGCACTGGTAAGGCCACACCTTGAGTACTATGTCCAGTTTTGGATCCCCTCTCAACATCAAGGCCCTGGAGTGTGCCCAGAGAAGGGCAACAAATCTGATGAGGGTCTTAAGAGGAGGGGCTGAAGGAACTGGGGTTGTTTAGTCTGGAGAAGAGTAGGCTCAGGGGAGACCTTATTGCTCTCTGCAATTACCTGAAAGGAGGCTGTGGCCAGGTGAGTGTCAGCCATTTCCTCAGAACTATATAGGATTAGAGGGAACGGATTCAAGTTGTGTTAGAGGAGATTCAGGTTGGGCATAGGAAAACCTTCTCCAAAAGAGTGGCCAGGCACTGGAACAGGCTGCCCAGGGAGGTGTCAAAGTCACCATCCCTGGAGGTATTCAAGAAACATTTAGATTTTGCACTAAAGGGTATTGTTTAGTGAGGAAATATTGGTGGTAGGTGGATGGTTGGACTAGATGATTTTGGAGGTCTTTTCCAACCTTGGTGATTCTATGATTTTTAGGCCTGATAAAGGACAACTGTCACCAATGATGCAGGATTCCAAAGTAAGCAACACAGAGCAGACTCTCAAAGCCAGCACCCTCAGTCCTAGTGAAGGGGATGGGGATGGGCTCCTCATACACTGGAATTTGGACTTTCTGATACAGCTGGTATGCTGTTGCTTTCTGGTGGGGAGAAAGATGAGGAGCAGGCACTCAATCATGTATATCCTGGGGGAGCTGAAGGGCTTGTGTTGAAGGTCCTGGAAGTGTTCATTACTGACCCCCTGATCGGTGACAAAGCTGCAATCCACCAAGCAGCAGGATTCTGTGTCAAGCATTCTCTATGGAAAAACTCTGGTTTTCTCTGTAAGGAAATTTATTATATCTCCAAAGTGATGGGGAGTAGCATGGAGCTCAGTTTCTGTGTGTTGTCACCAACTCCTCATCTCAGCATGTCTTGCTGGTAACTTAACCACCCATTGCAATAAAGCACTCTTGGTCTTTCACACCATGTTAAAGAAAATAATCAACAGAGTACTTAAACCATGTTTGGCTTCAGTTCAGTTTTCAACTGAGTTCAATAGTAAAAAGAAACCCCAGTAGTTCTACTTCACCACAGCTAGTCTTGCTCAATGTCTAATGTTAAGATAAATTATGTTTTCCAGTGTGTAGGATGAAATAAGAGTTGCTATCGCATCAGGATGATTTTGTCAAACGCTACTCACATTAGACAGCAAATCTTTTCTTTTGTAGAAGGAACAATTTTGAAAGTAGATAACCAAGCTGATGTTGGGGATACATCACTTGGGACCATGATTCATGATCCATGTAGTCTCAGTAAAAAGTATATTACTTTCTCAAACAGCTTTTAACAGGGACCTTGACAGAATTTTTTTTCTTCTAAATGATAAATGATCAAATCCAGTTCTACAACATAATTTTCAGTCAATCGTTGTTCATTGTTCTTTTATTGCAAGTATGCCTTGGCATGGTTTATGAACCATTCAAGTATTTAGTAGCTGTTTAAAAGTAACAGCTATAACTACTTACACTAGACACAAATAGAAGACGACTAGATGGGTCACTACCTTTAGAAGAAAAGTGTTTATGGAGAAGGATTTAAGAGAAATAAGATTATAGATGCAGATGTTCCATTATTCACAACATTTCAAGGGAGAAAGCAGAATGGCTTTTAAAGTTAGGTACAAAATAAAAATATTTCAATAAAAAGATAAGGATAAAGTTAGAGAGAAATTGCAAAAGTCAAGCCACTTGGAAAACCCTACCTGTTTACGTAGGGTTTCTGGATTCTATTATCCCAAGAGTGAGCATTTTGATTGTGATTCCAGGTCAAACAAGATGCCATTCATGGAAAATACTGCATTTTCCACCCAGATGGAGAAAGGAATGGGAAAGGTGTATGACAGAGTGCCTCTCATCCCTTGAGATCTATCCAAGATCTTATGAAATCAATGGAAAACTTTCCATTGAGTTGAACGTGCTCTGAATCACATCCTTTTAGAGCACGCTTTGTTGTCAAGCCCTTCTTCCCCACTCTGTTGCACAATTTGCTTTCTGCTGATGTTTTTTTTTCCAAATATTAATAAATCTGTATAATCTTTGAGCCTTTCTTCTGTTTCAGTCACACTGTTTCACTGTATGCATGACTGCATGATTGAGGGCTACTCTGGAAATTACTCATGAAAATGAATTGCCTGGTCATACCACAATGGTCAATATCTGTAGGCTGCAGCATCCCCTCTGTGGGCCATTGTAGCAGATCATAAAATCTCATTTCCGGGAAAGTTTCAAAACTTTTATTTTCTAAGGAACATTAATTATCAGAATCCAAATGACCTGTCCCATTTCTCCATCCACTTCCTCTCTTTTTCTCCTCATCAGACGTGGTAGATTGGAGGCAAGTGGCAAGAGATGACATTTCAGGTTCCTGGTTTTAAGTCCCTGGTTTCATATCAGTGTCAGCTGAAGTGCTTAAAAACAACAAGACTCATGATCCTAATGCCTAAACCAATATTTGCATGCAATCATTTCTCCATTGTTGAAGTTTTATAACAACAGCTGATTTACAAGTCTGACACTTAGGCAGGCATATGCTTTGGCAATCTACAGGCTTCCCAAGACTCATGCCTGCTGCACTGCCTGTTGACCTCTCCTTCCAACACAGGGCTTTGAGGCATCATCACAATGGCCAAACCACTTTGGACCTACATGGTTGTGAAAACACTAGTCATACCCCCATCTGAGCTTCCGTTTTTTCACCTATAAATTATATTCTGTAGAGACCAGAACTTTCAGAAGGTACTTACGAGTTTTTACAAAGCACTTACCTAGGAAAGGTTCTCATACCCACGGTGAGACTTGAAATACATTGAAGAACAGGAAAACTCTCACCCCTCCCAGATGACCACCTGTTGTCAAGACACTGATGACATGGGAATCCAGATTTCAAGCTTATGTCCCGCAAGATGTCTGAATATCAGAATCCTGCATCTCAGGCAAGCATTCTGGCCGTCAAATTGTCAGGTATTCTGAACAACAACTTCCTCAGTCTCTCCTGTTGGACCTGTTTCACTTTGTATAAATAATTAAACATTAATTGGAACAAGGACTTGAACTTAGACTGCCCATTGGACTGTTGCATTGGTCTTTCTCCAGACCAGTGGGTAGGTAACTATTTGTATAAACTTGGTAAGTTGCAGAGCAACAGACGTACCTAAAGGGATCCCAAAAACTCAGAAAGAAAAGCCCAAAGACGTGTGGTAAAATCATTCAGTAAGCTACAGAACACACATTTTTCAGTCCTTGATCAGAATGAGGCAGAACAAGGAATATTAGCTGCTCTAGGGAAGGTTTTGCCAAATCTTCTCCACAGGTCATGCTTCCATCAAGTTTTGAGAAGAGATATTATTTAAAAGTCAACCTTCTTTTTTGTTGAAGTGAAAAATAGCTCCTACAGTTACAAAATCCTAAATAAACCCTCTATATTATGTTGAAGGCGTTAAGAATCTTCGGCATCATAATTCCTAGATTCTTAAAGTTTCTAAAACCTCTGGCTCAGACATAAAGAAGACTTTCACTGTTCCAGCTCTGAGTGGAGTAATTTGTTCCTCTGGCACTCTTCTCAATTTTGCTGGCATTAGTCAAATGATGACTTATCACATTTAGTCACATATAGTCATACAGAAAGATAAGTGAAGGCAATCAGATAAATCCAGTGATTAGAATAAGATTGCCACAAAAGAAAATACAGAAGGTAAGATAAAAAACTGGGGAGGCTGAGTCCTAATCAGTTTACCTACTTGGTAAACAACGTTCCATAATAACTTAGATGTTTATTTTTGGTAGTCAAATACATTTATTTTCAAACAGCTTTTTCATAAGGATTAGAAATTAAAAACTGTAGTTTAGATAACAGACTCTATAAGCAGCTGATATCAAAATCAGCAAGTTGGTATTCAGTAGACGGCGCAAAGTTCTGCTTTTTTCTTTAATGTCATATAATATTTCATTTTCATAAACACATGAATTCAGTTAAGAGTTAACTAGCTAAAATATACAAATATGCGGGAGGTTTTAAAAAGAACTACAACTTCAAAAGGAGCTGGTTTAGGAGTCATGACCTTATTTTTTGCAATAACTTATGCATCATGAACTTACGTAATAAGCAAAAGATAACATATCACACTCTCAGTTTTATGTCCTTGGTTTTTGACAACAGTGTCAATTGTATTTGCTAACTGAAGAACTATCAGAGCCTCGTAGCTGAAAATGTTTTCATTCCAAAACTGTTGTTTGTACCAAATCACTTCCCCTTTATTTTTCCTTTCTAACATTGCTAAATTCAGAATCAGAAATGAATAGGAGTATTCAGACAAATTTGGACGTCAAGAATGTTTCTGAACATTAGTTATCCTAGTGAAATAGAAATATTTGAGAAATAAAAATATATATTTTTCTAACTCTAATGTCAATAGAAAGCACAAAAGCACACATATGAAGTGGATGCAGAGGTCTAAATCTTTAGTTGTTGCCCTTTGAGTGGGAGTCAATAGCAGTGACTTGGATTTTAAAGCATTCTCGCAAGCTAAGTTTGAGTCCATTTCTTCCTTTTCCAAGCAACTGCTTTAAGCACTAGCCATGAGGCTGGGCACCTGTATCATCCACTGAAAACATCCGTCCTCCTGAGGCACTGGGATGTTCAGAAACTACAACAGGAAATATTTTAACAAAACATTATGGAAATGGGAGAGGTCTAAAATGTCAATGAGTTAAGGTGCTTAACATCCATCTGGATTGGCAAAAATGGGCTCACTTTCTTGAGGTTATTTTTGGAGGGATCTGATGCTTAGGAGTAGGATTTGTTTTGGTTTTAGCTGTGAAATCTGAATTTTGGGGGGAGCAGTTTTGCTTTGAGACATTTAATAATTCACAGTAATATGTAGCATAGGGGAAGAGAATGGCTCCAATTTTGTCAATTTGCAGTTTTCTGCAAATTAGAAATTATGACAGGAAACAATTACATGCCATTAGTTCAGTAGAGCATTTGCTATTTTATCTCATCTGAAGCTGAATTTAAGTGACCTGAAGAGAACTGGTTACATGTCTTAAAATCTGGCTAACAGTAAATTATCACTGGCAATGTAGATTATTTGGTGAAATCTATAGATACCATTTTAATTCAATGCAAATGAAAACTTTCAGTACCCGTGAGAGTAAATTGACATCAGTGAATCTCCCTGATTTAACTAAACTAGGAGAAGAGAATAGGAATTGTAGTAAACAGCAGGAAAACAGACAAAAAATTCAATCTGGAAAAACTAAAATTGATATGCAGAAGAACAAGAGACACACATTCAACAGATGGAAGAAACGTAAGGAGATGCAGTGCTGAAAGAAACCACAAACATTGCATGAAGGATAGCAGTCTCACACATTAAGAAAACAAAGTTCTTCCGAGCTGTTACTACAAAGGTCATCATTCCATAACAGATACGATGGTGCACTTTGGAATCAGAGGAAACTTGCCTTGAAGGGATGTCATAAACTACCAAATCCTTTCCTGTGTCTCTACATGCAAACAGCTACATTTATCTTATTCCCAAATGCTTATAAAATAGGTTTTTTTCAAAAATACATAAGTTTCAGATCATCTTATTATGTTCTATATTTGTACACAACAAAGCAATCTCAGACTCACAGACTTTCAGACAAAACTGAATCAACCAATAGAGGTACCCTGGCATGGGTTGGGTTTTTTTTTTTGGTTTTTTTTTTTTTTGGGTTTTTTTTT